AAAGTATCCACCTCAAGCAGCTCAATGGCTAAACGCCGATGATCAGTGGACAGTTTGGAGCGGATTATCAAGACAACAGCATTACAAATCTCTGCCACCTCTTTCTCTGACTTTGGGTGGTAAGGTGTGAAGCAGACGGTGAGGTCTTCAACTTTCCCATGCTGCAATACAAGCTACGGTTCTATAAGACAAGATGAGCAAGGCGCCCTTCCAAACTGGTGTGTGTGAAGAAAACAAAATGGCCGTTTCATATTTGCCTGTAACTGGTAATATTTACAAAGACAGAAACTAAATAATAAGCTAATATAAACTACTCTATTTAATTTCCATACAAAATACTGACCAAAACAGTACTTACAAAACGGAATTAAATATCAAGACAATTCTGGGTGTCCATCAAAGATAAAATTCTTACTGTACAAGACTCCTCTCTGACTTTCTCTGATAAGCTTCAATTCTGTGTCTGTATCTCCCCCCAGCTCCACTGTAAGATAACTGTCTCACATGCTTTTCTATAATCTTCTCAGTGAAAGAAGCTACAATCTAAAAATCCATTTTACTGCAAGATTGCGTTGTAAGTAAAATGTTATGTTTTCCTTAAACCTTTTACATGAGGGCTACACAGCAGCCACCTAGAAAAGTAAAGCATTTTAGTGCTTCCCAGAGTGTTGTGGTAGTGCGCATCAAGCTACCCAGCCATGTCGTTGAACCTGATACCCTGGCTTCTTTCAAGAAAGGGCTGGAGGAGATCGTTCCATCTACTTACTACCTAACAGGCTATACAGACCAAATGGCTTTTATCGGCTTTCGTTTGTTCAACATTCTACACAAATGACTCGTATTATTGCAAAGAATAAAACAAGAAAACCAAGTTAAAATGTTCATGTCGGATTAACGTGTCTGTCTCCCGCTGTACCTAATTATGAAAGGGCATATTTTAAGACCACCAGAAGGAAAGGTTAATAAAAGGTAATTAGACCTGTGGGATAAGTAACTGTCTGCAATGAAAAATATAGGCTGAACACACTCACACCTGAAGAAGACGACAAACTGTTTCTTTATTCTGCTCCTCGGAGTGGAATTAACCTTTACTAGTTCCATTGCAGGCCACACAGACTGACGCAGCTTGTACTCGAACATCTTCAAATACAAACATAGCACTGCATTTGTAAAGAGGGAACCGATCTTCTTACAATCATGTGGATCGTGATTTAATACAAGCTACCTACTGAAAAGGACAAGTCTACACAAAGCGTACATTGCTGACAACTGCGGTAATGGTGTCGGTTGGGATGTTACATAGTTTGGCGTTCTCCCCCGCAGCAAAAAATGCACTTATTTCATTTAATTCTTCAATTTTAGAAAACACTTCTTTTAATAATCAAATCCCTAATGTTAAACAGTTACAGGTATAGAGTCCTCAAATTTCAGAGACGTAGCAGTGATAAACCAAATTGTGACAGCAGCTTGGGAAAGTAAAACCTTTCCATCTACTTGTATCCTGAGGCAACAGCAACGTTTGGAGCCTTTATTTATCAAATAAAGCATTCACTGTGGCACCAGGCGAGAAGCCAATTAGTCAATGGGGCAGAATTACAGCAAAGTCACTTTGGGGACTGCACTGTATTTTGGGGATACAACAAATAAGAACCTTGAGTTTAAATGCGCATTTAAAATAACCTACACTCTTTACTGCAATGACATAACAACATTTGCCATTTTAAGTTAACAGCCTGGACATCACTGAATTCCAGCTATTTGTACTGCAAGATTTGCTTTATTAACCAGCTCCCAGTATATCAGCGTTGTGAGAGAACAATCAAGATCCTGCAAACACCCCTACACTGAACTGAAGGAAGTTTAAGAGATCTTACCGAAAGACTAATGTATATTCAAAGCTTCAGTGCCAGGACAGCACCCTTAATAGTGATTTTGTCAGGTTTTAGGGTTAAATGGAACGAAGCGATCTTAAACATGTATACCTTAAACAATCTTAAACTTAGTATACCTGTCATTATCTGTAAGCAGCTGCAGGAGCAACAGCATCTATACAGTCTTACCTGCCTGTTTGTGTGTTCAGAAAGTGTGACTGACTCAGACAGGGGCGGTAAGACGATCTCCCAAAGACACATCCTAACACTAAAATGTTCTGTCTTCTCATCAGACATTGATGACATTTTTAACAGCACAGGAAAACGCAAGTACTAGAGTATCCTGCAATACTTCAATACTTCACGCGTTCCCTACACCCGAGCCGAGTTCAACTCCAGGAGCTGGACACCTCCGCACTTTGCCAAGCGTGGGCTGCATTAAAAAAAAAAAGAAGAAGGAAAAAAATGGAAGCTGAAAAACTAATAACTGATCAGTTGCCTGACATGACGCGTTCCGGCGACGTTTCAGGAAAAGGGGGAATCGCTGCGGGCAAACAGGAGGCCCATCGGAGATGCGTTTTCCACCCACCGGCACGGTCCCCCGACAGCGGGCTGCGGATGACGGTCTCGCCACATCCCTCCGTTGCGGGACGCTTCCGGTGAAACGAGAGAGACGGTACCCCAGTGCCCACGCAATGCGGGCCGCAATGGCGATCAAGTACGGCTCACACACGCCAAAAACGAGGGAGGAGGAGGGGGGGGGCGACTCCCGGCCAGTCGAGGATGAGCAGATCCACCCCGGCGCGGCGGCGGCTAACGGCTGGTCCTCACGGCGCCCATGTGCGAGCTGTGCCCGGCGGGGGGGGGGACGGACGGACGGACGCCACACGCCAAACAACAAAACGGTTTTTTCTCTACACAGTGTTGCGCGCCGGGGCGCTGTGGGAGCTCCAGCTGAAATCAACGCGGTGTTATGTAGGGCTGCCTCTCTGTTTTTGACTCTCTTCTTGTCCGTGTGTGTGTGTGTTTGAGAGAGGGGGGGGGAGAGAGAGAGAGAGAGAAAGTGTGCGTGCGTCTCACTTTTCCAACCGGGTCTGTCTGCGCATCGCCCCGGGGCGACAGCCACACCGCGCCACCCAGCGCGGCGGCCGCTCTCCCGGCTAGGCCACATGTGTCACCCACGGCGGCGGCGGCGGCGACGAGAAAACTTCACTTTTCCGCCACCATAGCCCACCCACCCTCGCAGGAGAAACACGCACTCAACGCCCCCCCCCCTCTCCGCGTCCAGCCCGGGTCTTCCCTCCGGAATCCATAAAATTATACCAGTAATAGCCGGAGTATAGAGACCCCCTCCTCCTGCTCCTGCTCCCCTCCCGACCCGCCAAGCGCCAGTCTCCAGCCCGGGCCTCCTGGCTGCAGTCGCCTTACCTCGCTCCTGCCCCGCGGAAAGGTCATCGGGGAGCCTCTGCCGGGTCCCGCCGCCTCCGCCCGTCTCTCCGCCGGCGGCGATCGCAGGGTCTGTGGGTGGGGATGGGGAGGAGGAGGAGGAGGAGGAGGGGGGGGGGACACACGACTCTTCCCTCCTGCCCCGCAGATGCACAGGATTTTTACACCCACAGAGATCTCCCGGCACTGCCTAGCGAACTACCCATCCGCCGCTCTCCCTCCTCGTCGCCCCCCTGTCCGTCTCAATTCATCTCGGCATTTCAGCCGCCGATCTGCAAAAGTCCAGCTCCAGCCTTGGCCAAGGCGCAGCTCCTCTCGCGTCCCCACTCGTGTCTCAGCTGGCGCAAAGCGTCCCCCTGCTCCTCTCCCTCTGCACCTACGTGTGTGTGTGTGTGTCCGCGCTGCGCTCCCGTTGTTGTTGTATTTCCAGTTTAACGCCGCTCTTCCCCCGGCCGTCAGAGACACTCGGGGCTCCGGAAGCCGAATTCACACAAATACAGTCCAGCGGCACGGAGCCCCTGCAGGCCAGCGCATGCGCCCTGCCGCCCCACGCAAAGGCCAAATGAGGATACTGGGCATGCGCCCAGCAGGCGGCGTGCCGTCTCGCTCTTCCGGAGGGCGGGCCTGCCCCCTGCTGGCAGGAAGATGACACTGCCAGTTTTGTTTTTCACGTCTCCTTTTTTTTTGTGCGCAGTGTCCGCAGTAGGAGCAGCAGCTGCTGCAGAGCACAAAGCCCAACATCATAACGAAACCAAAGCTAATTTTTAAGAGAACCGCTACTACCCAGACGCCCTCATGCAGTTCAGGCCGCCCCGGTATTGTCATGATAAAAAAGGGCATTTGTTTTCACAGTATTTATTTTAAAAGGTGACAGCAAACTACGAATTGCATACCTCTTTTTGTGTTTTAACGCCTCACGGTTTAGTTTTTTTAATCACAATGAAGCAAAATCATGCCGAGGAAGAGAGGTCTGGAAGAGTACAGCCAGGAAAAGAGTTTTTGTTTTCCGTTCAAAACTCAACCTACAGTAGGCGAAGTGTGCTGTTGATGACAGGAAAGAGAAGGATCTGTCGAAGCTACGAACAAGTTTTTTTTTTTTAAGTTTTCAAAGGTACAAACAAGTCTGCAATTATACAACCTCTAGAAAGATGGCGATGATAGCCCCCAAAACAATAATTAACAATTCTCTGGGTTTTTCATTCTTAAGTTTTCCAGGAAAGCCCGCCGCAAGACAGATCGGGGGAAGTTTGACATCGTTTGACATGTAATTAGGGGAGAATTTCAGGAAAACTTGATTCTACAAGCCCGGACTGAACTTTAATCAGGGCACTAAAGACATACAGTACTAAAAGACCTAGTAAATAATAATAATAATAATAAATAATAAGTGTTCTATATAAAATAAACACCCAAAGATAGTATTCCCGAAACTACATATCTTATTATAGCAGCACTACAGCTGACCAAATTATACAGATCATATAATAAAGTAGTACGCTGTTACTTTTTTGACTCATGAAGTTAGATCAATCTAGCTGTTGTTGTTTTTTTCTGTTACAATAGCAAGTCGTTTCACACAGTTGTATGCATGTGAATGTCGGATTAAGGACAAGAAGACGAGGACACCTGTTTGAATGAGGACTAATTAGCTAACAATTATCGGAGCGTTGCTACTTTATAAAGATGGTGTGGAGGGAGGTGACCGAGAGAGAATTTTATACTCTCCAGGGTTTGGTGCACTGTTCTGAGTTCTACACTGAATTTAATTGTCACATTCACAGTTGATTGAGGTTCGTAAGTATTTCTCTGTTTTACCCCCCAAAAGTTTGGTTTGTTGGCTATCTCCTGAAAACGTCGATTCTTGTAATTCGCTGTTCTTATATCATTATTAGGGGTGATTTAACCGGAAAGAGCTCTGTATCGTTATTCTTCTGGTAGAAGAATCTAGGACGATTCGTGAGCGTTGAGTGGTTGGTTGTATTAACCGATAAAGCTTAGTTTCCATACTTGGTATGGGGTTTTACCTCTCTCGGGTAAAAAAAAACAACTTTCGTCTACTTTAAAATCCTGTCCTGCCACGCACGACTTCTACGAAATTAATCTATTCACGCAGTTCTTTTATTCATGCATTTTCTGAAATACGTGGAGATGGTGCATTTTCCCCTTATGGTATAAAATGTTGAAGATGGCTTTTGAAACTGGGATTGCGAGAGTGTAAAAATTAAACGTTGTGGGGGGGGGGTGTGGGAATGAAGGAAGTTTACCTGCACGGTGTTTTTTTCCCGTCCACAGTATCTTTGCGTGTCTAGTATCCTGTGCTGTGTGTGTCTCTTGGAGCACGAAGGAAAAGATGGAAGGTAATGTTCCTTTTAAACATCTCTTCTCTCACAACCAGTGGTAGCTATCATGTAGTAGATTCGCAGTGAACTTTGCGTTCACCAGGTTGGACTTGACCGTCTCTTAACCAAGGCCGTTTTGCTAACTCGTTGCTTTTAGTACCAAGTGGGAATCGAGTTAATTTTTTCCCCAATATTTCTCCCGTTGCTTGCAGAAATGAATAATCCTCAGCATCCTTCATCGGGAAGTGGGCAACCACATCAGCATCCGGTAAATCACACAAGACCGTTTTTCTATGTACAACCACCTTCTCAACCCTATTTTTTATACCAATGGCACATGAACAATCCTTTTGGTCAATATGGCTTCCATGGATCAGGTATGTCAAGAGCTTCACCGCCTCTGTGCTTTCCTGCTGCCTCCTTTTAGGTATGTTAAACTTTTGAGTGTTGCTTGTAATTCGCAGGCTTCCCGTTTGGGCGTCCCTATCTGCCTCCTTATCCATACATGCAGTATCCAGGATATGTTGTCCCACAGGCACCAATGCAGCCAATGGACTACAGGAGAATGTTTAACCCTCACTTTCCTTCCACTGGGGCCTATGATGTAAGGTTTCGCTACCACCAAACGCGCATGAGGAGGGAAACTGCCACCTCGGAGGTTCAGACTGATCCTAGTGAAGCTGTGAATAAACTTATCGAAAGTCTGGGCAAAATGGGGGCTTGCCATCCTGCTAGTGAAAAGGAGCTGGATTCTGGGATAGCCTCCCAGAACTCTGGGACATTTGTGCCGGGGGATGAGCAGAAACAAGTGGCACAGAACGAGGGAAAGGAACCTCAGCCGCAGAGGAGCGTCCCCAAAAAAGTGAGATCGGGAGACAAGCCCTTGTCTTCGCCAGTGAAAGTGTTCAGTGAACCCGCCGCCGCCGCCGCTGCTGCTGCTGCGTATGATGTGGAGTCTAACCAAAGGAGGCTGGAAGACTTGGCTCGCCAGGAAGGTTGGTCAGTCAGTTCCTGTGAGGGTGTGCTACCACTGGATAGCTCCTCAGTTCACGAAGAAAATGTGGGGCCGAAAGCGCAATGCTCAGATGAATCTGAGCCCCAGGTCAACGTGGCCTTCCCGGAGAAATTCACTGATGGCTCAGGCAGCAGAAACCGGGAAAACCAAGGTACTCGATGTGGCAGAAACAAATCTGACAAATTGACCGGGCTGGATCCTCAGCCGGGAGCTGTGCAGGGCTGTGATGTGGCTTCAAAACAAGGTGGTGACACCACTTGGCCTCTGGCTGAGCCGTTGCCATCGAACCTTCCCCCTTCCAACTGGTTGGCTCACGAGGGTGCTGAACAAGCTCATGAAGTGGTCACCAAGATGGCCTCCCCAGCTGACAAAAAGAAGAGTGTGGAAAGGCAAGTCCCTGGTAGCGAGGATCTGCAGTACAATAACTCAAAACAGTCTTGCGGTGCACCTGCTCCATCGGAAGAGCTGCAGAAAGATAATCCTCTTTGGTACATAGATTCAGCGGCCTCATTTATTCCCCCTTCAAGTTATCTGTCTACATTTGGGAATTCCTACTATTATAGCTACTATCCACAGATTGCCCAGGAGCGGCAGAGTGTTCTTAGTCCTTCTTTGGATGAGCTTTCCTCCAGGGATGAAATGTTCTCGACTGATTTGGAAGATATTGATTTAATGCCTGGCCATGTGTATGCAGGGGGGAGACTGGGTCACGTGGCAAATGAGGTGCAAGAACGTCTTGGGGAAGAGATTCAAAACAGTTTATTACATGAAGAAGAGTGCCCGGTGTGTCCAAAAATGAAAACCTGTGCAACCTGTGGCTCAAGTTTATCCAAAGAAACAAAAAAATCCAAAGTCTCTGCATCGGGAAACACGGAATACACGGAGACGGAGGACACGTACGAAGAGCTCGTCGAAGAGGAGAAAGGTGAGGTGTCGAAAAAGGGCAGAGAGTTGAGAAAAGCTGCAAGTATGAAAAAGCCCCCTCACCCGAAGAGACCATCCCAGCCTTGCAGTGCTGCTAGACCGCTCCCCAAGCAAAAATCCAGAAAAGGCTGTTGCGGTGATAACGAGGACTCTACTTGTCATGAGCATCAAGGGAAAGAATATCCTGAGGAGAGTGAGTGTTGTGAGGAGCACAAGACTGCGTCCAAAGCCGAAAAACATAAAGGTCAGGAAACGAAGAATGTCCACCTTAAACGCCAAACGGGTAAGTCATGAGATCCGGAAAGCTTTGTTTTATATTATTTTCCACAGTAAATTTATTCATATCTGACTTTATTTCCTGCCAAGTTAGAATCTTTACAGTTGTACTGATTAGGTTGAGGGGGGTCTTTTTTTTTTTTTTTTTTTAACTGTTCTGATATTTATTCCTGCAGAGAAGCCTTGGAGAGAAGGCACAGTGACATCTGATCAGGAGAGTTGGGAGAGTTATGGCGCCAAACCAAGATCAAAGCAATGGAAACCATATCCTTCACGAGGACGAGATCAAGGTACTTGAGATTATTGCATTTCACCCCAAGTTCAGTATTTGAATGCTTAGATCTTTTTAGTAACCCAAATTGGTTGGGAACAACTTGAGCCTGCCCTCATGTATTCATTATTGTAGAAGGTTAGGGGAGTTAAAAATGACACCCTTCTTTCGGAACCCACACCTTTCCAGAGAGACCTCCACGTAAAAGGGCTTCATACAAGGCATTTGTGTACCAGAAGCCCAGGAGAAATGATTGTGATGACAATGAAGATGGAGATCTTCCAAGGGTCCAAAGAGGCAGAGGTATGCTGCACTCTTATAGAAGATATTCTTCCATTTTCGAGTTGACTTGCTTATGCAAAACCATCCCTCACAGGATGTAGTAGAACCTTAACGTAGTTCTTTCCCAAGTTGTAATCTTCCCTACTGTTACATCTGTTAAGCATTTGCCTCGTCTCTTGTTCTGAAATTAGTATTTAATAATATCCCCCCTAAATTGCTTCTTTTATAGAAGTGGGAGGGGTATGCTGGTACATTTTGAATGCACTGAATAGTGTGGGGAAAATGGCTTGTGGCAATTGATTCTTATGTAATTCTTCTTAATGTTTTTTTCCTTTCCAATATCTATAGGCTCCACCAAGAGAAGAGGCACAAGATACTGAAAATCGGGCACTGCATACTTAAACACTGTTCCACATAACCTAAAATGTACACAAAGCACGTATAATAAAATTAATGAACACGTTTTTGCTTTAGAACGAATTTAAAGGCAGCAGAGAACAGCTTGCTGCAAGAGCTGCGTTTGCACTGCTCACTGAAACCATGTTGGAGTAGTCCTTCAACCCAATTCTTGCTCGACACCATTCTCCCTGAGCATGGCCTTAACAATTGCCGCTCCTCAAGGAACCAACTTGGTTCTGGAACTAAACCAATTCAATTCTACCCCAGCTCCTCAAGGGACAAACCCTTTGATCTTAAGACTTGGCATGCATTCATCTTCCCTTCTTAGGCTTCAAAGTCAATGTTTCTGCAATTGTAAGGCAGTGCACTCATGGAGAGTGGTTTCCAGAATGAGGTTTTGGGCAGTGGAAACGCAGCTCATTGCATTGGAGAGAGAAAGTAAAGAACAATGAACCTTGTTAGTCTGTTGGACTGGCAAGTGTGAAGTGTCTTGTTCATGACTTTTTATTATAGTGCAGATATTTTAAACATTGCAATGTAATGTTGACATATGGAATCATGTACTGCACAGTGTTGTTGTGTCATTAAATCTTTGCATTGCACTTTAAATCTATGTAGCTTTTGGTTGGTTTTTTTTCTTCAATCCCTTGGTCTGTGGTCTTGCATCTTTCCAGTTTGAATTTCACTGGAAAGCACACGGTGCTTTCCAGTGAAATTCAAACTGGAAAGCTGTTTCTTGGATGTTCAATAGCCTTTGTGCATTAGATTGAGCCACCAAAACCATTTCTAAATTTCTTACATCTCAATTCATCTTGGTGAGGACAAAAGTGTAACTTGGAGTAAGATGTTGGCTCCTCCTATTCAAAGTCTCCTTTATTAATCCCGGTTCTTTGGTTCCTATCTGCTTTTTTTTTAAGCAGATTTGCCAACTTTCTATTTAATAGAGATGCCATAATGCTGTTTATTTATCATTAAGAGACATTTGAAAGTCAAGGGCTAGTAGCATATGGCCACACCTGTGTGTTGGTACTTCATGCTTTGTGCCAGATTATAGAGGTCTTCCTCATTCCTTTCAAAACACTTGGCTCTTGACTCAAGAGGACTTGGCTCCACTGCTGTAAGGTTCACTTGAGAGGACTTGATCCAGAGTCCAACATGTAGGTTGTATGAAATCAAGAAAATGTTATACAGGGCATATTCTTTCCTTTGTGTTTGCGGTCTTAATATTAATTAGGAGTGACATTCATCAAGTTAAATTACCTCTCCATAGAAACCCAACCAAATCTCTTGCCAATATATTTAATGCTTATGCAGTAGTCAAAGTCAGTCCAGTATTTTTAAATTGACATTCAAAGCATTTAATATGCAAAATCCATATACTGTACTATTATGGTTCTAAAAATGTCAAGATCAGATAGAAAACTGCAATACTATAATATACGTAGAGGTCAAAATAATTGAATAAGCTTGTGTTGTATCTTTCCTTTCCTTTCCGGCTACAAGTTGTATAGAAAGCAATTGATTGTGTATATGTAGAAAACTATAATTTTATGTGTAGCAGCTATCATGATGGCTTTCACAACTCCACCACAGTTCTTGGGTACAGGATTTTAAGGGATGCCTTTTGAAGGGTGTTGGTGTGTAGTCTCCAAGTTGGCTTTCACTGGGTTCTCTGGTTAATGCCCACAATTCAAAGATGTGTTGTATAGGTTAATTGGTTTCACAGAGCCCCCTTGCTGGGTGCCCTATAATGGACAGATATGAAATCCCAGGTGAATCCTGCCTTGTGTCTTATCTACTGGATAAGCCTACAGACCACCGTGACCCTTTATGGACTAAGATGTATTGAAGATGGATAATAGTGTTAAGTTATTGTGGTATCCAGGAGGTAGTTTAGGAAGCAGGCATTCCGGGCAATGAAGTCCAAGTCTGAAGCTGTATCAGCATGTGTAGGAGCCACAGCTGAAGAAGGCTCCACAGCCAAAATGTTACATCTCTTTTTTTTCTTTTTTTTTTTCCTTTCAGCATGGAATAAATCTTTACTTGTTCCCTCGCATTCTGGGAAATTCATTGTTGAATAGGACATGGAGAGTACAGGTGAAGAATAAAGGCTCAAACTATGGTGGTCTAATTATTGGAGAACCACAGGGGTCTGAAACACTTTATATATGTGTGATCTAGATTCCTGTATGTAAACTTGTCATGTTTGCTGATCATACCAAAACAGAAGGATTAGCAAACATGAAATTCAAATGATTTAGATCAAATTTGGCTTTTTAAACAATGTGTGGAAGCAATGAACAATACAAAAACATGTTTGGATACGTCAGTCAAATAAGTTAGATAAGTGCAGACTTTAAAATGGGACCTAAATGTTACAGCAAAGTAAGTCGAAAGAAGAGCAACCAAATGCATCCTGGAGCTTAAAGGAATGTTCTGTACTGACAAGCTGAAAGTGAACATTTTTAGTCTTGAACAGAGAAGGGGACCTGCTAAAAGTATTTAAACAACCTCAAGGACATTGACAAAGTAATTCTTGTGGACTTCAGAAAACAAAACTGTGAAATACAAACCAGAGGACAACTACAATGAAGTGCATTTAAACCCAAGTCCAGGAGACATCTTTACTCAAAGGGTTGTGGGAGTATGGAGCAAGTTACCAGATCTTATGGTTGAAGACTACCACCCAGTTGCATTCAGGAAATGGCTGTGTGATGTCCTTGGATCAGGAAAGTTCTTAATAAACCAGCTAGGCAAACCAAATCACCCCCACTCATGAGTAATCATTCATGTTGATCTTTCAACTGTTTCTTTAGCCTATAGCACTGTACACTTCAAAGTTCATTGTTCTGACCATAAACTGTTTTCTTAAATCATTTTCTTGATTGGTTGGTATTTGATGTCTTTAAACAGTTCTAAAATAAATTAAGGTTTTATTTTATGTCACAATTTCTGGACAAGACTTGATCTTAACAAAGAACTAATTTATCAAAATCAATTTCCCCAGCTCATCCTCTCACTCAGTGGAAACATTGAGTCTCCTGGTTGTTATTCCAGTCATACTCTTGTGTTCTTTGACCTTTTGTATAAGATTTGTTTCTATCCTAAACATATTAAGTTTTATGAACTAAAAAAGTTTAAATATGCTAAATGAAATGGCACAGATTAATTTTGAAAATGCTAATGAAAATTCTTGTTGAGAAGAGGAGCACCAGAAAAGTTACTCCTCATTGTATGCAACAACTTCTGCTTTGCATTTAAAATTAATTAGCTTTCAGTTCATTTAATCTCCGTATTTACTAAGGAAAGCAAAAAGAACAAGTTTATCGAAACCCAAAATATATGTCCTTCTATTTTAAATCCAGCATAAACGTTAAATAATGTTTAACAAAATACAAAGAAATCCAGTTTATTTTCACCAGCCAGTGGAAGGAGCTCATCTCGTATCTTATTCAATGAGGATTTAATTAACTTTACACTGGTTTATATATTTTTGAGTTTGTTTAATTTATATCAAAAGAAAAAAAGTGATTTTAACACTTACAGGTAGAGCTTAAAATAAATCTGATAAAAATCAAAGTCAGATCCAAGCACTAGGGTGATTGCAAGTGGTCAGCTTCTCCCTTGCCACCGTGAAAGGTAAGCAGCCAGGTTAGTCCAATCAGAATCAACCAATCACATTCTTTTCTCACTTGTCAATGCTAATTTTACCCCACCTTCCATAATTGTCTACATAAGGTCAGCTGTAAGTTTGTGCAAGCATTTTGCCAGAATTTCTTCCTGCAAGTATGTATGATTATTTGTTCATTTTTTTTGGTCTTTAAGTTGCATTGTACCATTTTCTGTCCAATGTGTGATCATTTGTTGTTGAATATATTTATACAACCAGTACAGAGTTTGCGATCCCCTTTTCTGCACATCTGCTATCATGCAATTCTGTTTTTCTCAGCCTTTGTTTTTAATTTTCCTGTTTAAAAATGTATAAAATGTTCTGTGTCATTCAAATAATTAGCTTGTTGTACAAAGGGAATGGGATTTTAAAGTATCCAAGAAAAGGGTAAATTATTTTGCTTTACCATAGTTGAATGTATTACCCATCACAGTAGTTTGCATCAGCACACAGAGTATATATGTGCTTGTTTATTTATTCAACATGAGACCCTGTCCGATTGCTTGATAATATAAAGCTAAGCTATTAGATATAGCATTTGCCATTTTTATACAACTTTTTTGAGGAAAGTACACATTTTATAATAAAGTAGTTGTTTAGAAGACAAGCCTTTGTATTATATTCTTAAAAAGGTGTAGGTGTATCTTAACCCAGGTCCTTACAGTCAATTACAGTTTTATGCTTCCTGATTAACAAGTTAAGGATTTCACAAGGATAAAATGGCAGAGTCAAAGTGGCTGTTTTAGAAGTCAATGGATGATTTTTAAAAGACACATTAACTGCATATCATGTCAAGGTGATTCTTATACAGCAGTTAAAAATAATTAAAACTTACATGTTACTAACAGAGGTGTAATGCTTTCCAACCCTGGATCTTTGAATAATTTGGGGATCATGATTTCTTTTGAAAACATTTTGTAGTAATGTAGTAATCTCCCACCCATAACAGCACAAAGCTTTTTCAGCCAGATAGCCTGTCCCAAACATTGTATTTGTGCCCTGGCCAAGATATGCAGGTTTACACACCTGAATCGCAGTTAAGTACATTAAAGGTGAGCACATTCTTTCGCAGTGACATCATGAGCGCAGCTACGTACGTGAGGTATTCAGGCCTGTCCTGCTGCAACTGTCCTGCCCTGTCGGAATCTTATTCGTAAAGGAAACAAATTTGGCAAGCTGGTAAAAGGGATCAGGACGGAAGATGGATGGTGTCTTGTACCGTAACGCGACTGTCACATGTTTTGGTTTTAGACATGGCTGCAGCACCACATCCTGTGGGGAATGGGCAGCACCCAGAAGAACAGACCAGACCCTTTTTCTATGTGCAGCCATCCCCACCTTATTTTCCATACCATTGGCACATGCCTATGCCATACCATGCCTACGGTGGGTTCCCTGGTCTAGGTAGGTGATTACAGGGCGTTTTCATACACGGAAACATATGGGTGATCGAATGTTCACGGGTAGAAATGTGGAGTAGGAGTAGCAACATCTGGAAGCTTATGCATTCAAATCGCAGCTGGGGGGACAGATGGTGAAGTGATCCGAATTAAGTACCTTGCTCCACTAAATAGCCCAGCTGTGTAAATGGGTAGGCCGGGTGATTGCCATTGTAAATCAGAACTCGCTTGCAGTAGAGCCTTTCGTTATGTGGAGGGTAATCATAAAATGAATCATTTGTTTTTGTTATTTTAAATACGGTAAGATAATGCAATAGATGCTTCTGAAGCTACAACCACATTTCAGATCTTTGTATTTATGTAGCACCTTTCGATGTACAATTTCTCAGTGCCTTTAACTGATACAATCACTCATCCATCTCAGAAGGTTCTGGTGTATCACTGGGCACCAATACATACTGTACATCTGGAGTGGCACAGAGTGTAATTAAAATATTGATACTTTTTTCTGATCTGTTTTAAAGGTTATGGCTTGGGTTTCCCACCTTTACCTCCAAACCCCTACATGGAAATTCCTGGCTATATTGTCCCTCAGGCTCAGCTGCATCCTGCGGATTACAGAAGACTCTTAAATCCCCACTTCCCACCCACCATGGCCTATCATGCCAGGAGATTTCGGTATCAACAGAACACCACTTCAAAGGAGACCACCAGCTCGGAGGTGCAGACCGATCCAGCTGTGCTGATGAATGACTCGCAGCATTCAGGAGTTATTGGTACTTGTGTGGGAGGTGCCCAAGCTGGGAGATCAGACTCTGTAAGGGAAGCGAGACATGTTGGTTCCTTCTCAAACTCCATCGTCTGCTCGCGTTCTGAGAAACAGGACGTCCCAGGGGAGGAAGCAGGCTCTCTGACATCAAGGGTTACCAGTCCCAAGAGCTTTGTTTTCCAGAAAGAGGAGGTCAGGATAGAATGCAGAGACATGCCGTCCACTCTTAAAATTTTCAGGTCACGGGAGACAACAGCTGAATCCTCCCCAAGCACTTCAGGGAATCTGGTTCAGTGCGATGTGTGGTCTGTAAGCTCCACAGAAGGTGTAATGCCACTTTACAGCTCCACCATTAACGAGACTAATGTCTTACAGAATGCAGTGCGCCCAGAGGAGCTCCAGGAGCAATGTGTGCCTGCCTTCCCAGACGTACTACTCCTGGGAGCTTCTCCACCCAATACTGTCGCATCTGTCAGAGATGAGAAGAAACCTGCTGTTCACAAGGAACACAGAACAAGACCAAACAAGAAAGGGTCAGCACCAGTTACTGAGCAGGACCCAAGAATGGTCCAGAATGATAAAGGTGCACCAAGACATCTACATGAGGAAGATGGCGGTGCAAAACCTGTTGAGCATGTTCCCGCAGATAACCCCAAGCAACAGTGTGAAGTCCTGCATGTAGAAGATTTGAAGAAAGCTGAGTTGTCAGGAAAGTCAGTCACAAAGCTGGACCCTCATGTCTCACCTGAAGAGTGGCTGGCTCAGCAGGGTAAGACGCACCCTGAAAAGGCAACTGAGGAGCCCTTCAATGAGCGAGCCCCAGATAGTCACGTCGAGCAAATGGAGACGGGTTCTGTGGCAAACAGCCAGGATCACACCACAGGAAAGGATAAAAATGAAAATGAGGAGGGGTGGCCTGTGGAGACTCTGCCTCCATACGTTCCTTCCGCAAGCTGGTTAGCAGACTTTGGCAATGTGTATTATTTCAGCAAATTACCCCAGAGTGTTCAGGACCACCTGAGCATTTTCAGTACCTCCAAAGATGCGATAAGGATGGGAAAAAAGGCAAAGCTAACATGTGAAGGCCCCTGTGACCCCATGGATACCTCTATGCAAAAGAGAGTGAAAAAAAGGCACAGTCGATTGTTGGAGGTGAAGGGAACCCCTGAAAATGAAGGGTTTTGTAATCACCTCATTAACAGGAATGCTCTTAATCCAAATGATGAGGGAGCAAAAAGGTGCACCCACTGTTTGTCAAAACAGAACGCACATGGTAGTTCTGATTCAAAAGCTCTATGTGGACACAAAAGGCACAAATTAACCCAACAAACTGCTGACCTTAAACAAACCTGTGCAGCCTGTAGATACAGCTCAACGCAGGTTATGAAAGTGAGAGGGCCTGAAGCTGTGGGCCACTATGCCAATGAGGACTTGGACCATGAAACACTGGAGGTTAAAGGCCCATCAGAACCCCTCAAACAAAATCAGGAGTCTAGGACGTCAATGGCGGCAAGGAAGAGGATTCTTTCTAAAAGAGTGTCGGAAAACAATTCAGTTTTTCAGAGTCCAAAAGTCAAAGAAAAGAGGAATTCTGGAAAAGAGGCCAAGCTTGCCTATGAATATAGCCATCCAGACGCCATGAAGGAGTGTAATGCTGAAGTTATGGTGACGTCTACTCCAGGCAAATGTAAAGGTCAGGAACAAAGGTGTTTTTCTGCAAAACTGTTAAAATAAGCATTTGTAAGAGATCCTTAGTGTACTTCAAAGGAGCTTTCTGATGTCCGCAAATGTTAGGGTGCAGGCATGAAAAAACGCGACAACTTTTTGTTCCGTGTTGCAGTCAAGTTGAGATTTCTTTCAACAGCCATCAGCTTAATTTTACAATAGGGGATCACTCCTTCTCAAAAATATGAAAAACATTGTATAGTATAGGAATCTAATAATGTTGTACCAAGAAATCTTGGCTGTGTGGAGCAGTAACATCTTATTTCGGGAACATGCATAAAGGCAAAAGGTACTGGTTCAGAATGTTTTGCCAGGAGGAGAAAAGGTACACACTAATGATACTAATGCCACCAATTCAAGTAGTTAATGTATTGTATTCACCCCTGTTTCTCAGCGTTGCGTATAATATCTGATCAGCTCACTCAAGCCCACCTGTTCAAGATCTTCCTCAGTTTTTTGAAGATTGTGGAATTTGAACAGGCCAGTTTGAGCAGTTGGTAGGGCTGCGATATGGGGTCATTTGTGAATAGGAGTGGAGAAGAATTCAAACTTAGATGTGTGTTTTGTAAGAAACCTATGTTTTAACCAATGCTACTTTACAAATTGCTTAAATATCATAAACGGCAAAGGAAAAGTGACTCTGTGTATTTGCAGAAGACATCTGTACATTGTCAATGGAATAATGATAAGGAAGAAAGAGTCATTATAAGCAATTGATTGCTGTGAAAAATAAATACAACAGAAAATTGAATGTAGTTTACTCAAAGTATTTTTAATATTCTCAATCACAACTGTAGGTAACAGTCAAATAAGACTTTATTTCCAAGCTATATATAATACTCTATATACATGGTTGGCAACTCGCTTCTTGTTAATGATTTTATCAACATACTGTATACTGCACTTGAGGTTCACAGACGTAAGACAATTTCATAGTCTGTTCTTCATTGCAATTAAAGTATTGTTTTAACTTTCTGGGTATTTAGAGCTATTATCATTCCCCAAAAAGCATTTATTTGCAATTTACATTTCTGGAGATATTGCATAATGCTAGGGAACTTAGAGGGACAGGGTTGAGGGAAGTCTGACATTATAGATGTAATGTACCAGGTCCTTTAAAGAAATTGAGTATAGATGTGATGTATAAAATATTTTATGAAACTGTATAAATAGAGATGTAGCATAACTCTGGTGCGCAACATAATTTAGTTGTCTTGCTGTTCATGCTAGAAATGGAGTAATGGTTGGTGCCACTGCCTCATAGCTCCTGGACCTTAGTTACAATCTGGTCTGAGATGCCTCCTGTTTGCATGGTCACCCTCAGTTTGTGCATTTTGTTTTTCCTGATACTCTGGTTTGCTCCTAGCTTCGAAAAGCAAGCTATTTCGTTCACTTAAAACGTCTTTAAATTGTGCACGTGCCCTGCGATAAACTGGCATCCATTCCAGGCCATTGTGTCCTGTCCGCTTCCTGAATAGCCTCCAGGTTACAACTCACACCAGGAATACAATGGATTTTAAACAGTGGATTCATGGAAATCAAAAGCAATAAATTCCTTTAACCCTGAAAGTTCCTGGAATATATTTTATTAATAGTAACTTCTCTAGCAAAGATGTTGAGTGAACCCGGTCTCCACTGTTTGCTTTTCTGTTTGTCTAGAAAAGGCATGGAGAGAAAGTGTATCGACACCTGACAAGGAGGATTGGGAAAATTATGGAGCCAGACCGAGAAACACGAATAAAGAAAGGAAAACACTTCCCCAGTCACAAGGTAGGCATTATTTTTCACCACAGCTGAAGTAAAATAGTTTACTCTAAGGAGGTATCTCGTTGACTCCAAAGGCTCTTGTGTGTATGTAGTGCAATGTTCTGCTCTTTGGTGATAATGAAGTCTGTTCCACATACAGTTCCTCTTATTTTAGAATGCCTCGTGGAGTAATAGTCCTAATGCAACAACACACAGGTGATTTCAAATATTTTTTCTATAACCTCTAGAGAAAAATGTGTCATACATGCCACTTGCACAGAGACACAGGAAAAATGCGCACAGTGAAACTCTTGAAAGAGACCAGCCAAGACCGAACAGAACAAGAGGTCAGTGATGTTTTATTCTTCTTCAGCCATGGTGCTGCTAGGATCACTAGGAGTCAAGGAAAAATCTTTAGTTCACTGGCAAAGAACTAACTCGTTCAAAGAACATCAAAAGTTTACAGCAGAGGTCTAAGACTGTGTTCCTATAGGGTCTAGTCTCTTATGACTTTTGTTCAAACCTGAGTAGTCAATTATATGGAAAAAAAACTAGGAGAAACTGTGATCTTCAGGAATTGGTTTTGAGACACCTGATTTACAAATGGCTTTTATTGTAGAGGGGAGAAAGGACTTCTTATAGAGATTTTTGTTTGAATTGGTGCCCTATACAGTCTTCCTGATGGGAGCACGATGAACTGGGAAAAGAGAGGGTGGGTGGAATCACCTTTGATGTTCCATGGCATTCCGAGAACTGTATTAGGATATAAATCGTGAGCTGGGGCTGCTGTTCTAAATTAAAAAAAATAATAATCTAAATTCATAAATTTAACTTATTAATAGGTTAAAGAAATGACACACTTTCATCCTTGGGCTGGCCCCTAGTTTTCCACTCTAATGCATTCATTCTTATGCCACACACATTGATAGAAATATGTGTAATGCTCTCACATTTTCTAGATGTAAGACATCACGATGACCTCCATTACATCCAGCTGTTATGAATGTCAGCTCTCCAAACCGGTCATTGAAAAGATGTCAAGCTGCAATTATCATGCCTCCCCTGGGAACTGAATTTTTCCACATTACATCCCGAATTAGTTGGAATTACTTTGAAGTGTCTGATTTTAAATTGTTTTTTTTTTTAGGATCCAGCAATAGAAGAGGCACAAGACACTGAGATGATTTTCACTCAAGACACTAGATAATTATTAAAAAAAAACATTTTATTAGCACTGTAATTAACGTGACACGTAACACTTTGTAAGTATTAAACACCTTTTCCAACTCAAACCAGCCGAGAGACACTGTTTTCTTGTAGGATCTCTATCTGAATAGGCTATGGGGAAGATAAAGGGATTATACAGTACTGTATGTGTGAGCAATTTTTCCAAGAAAACACAATTCTAAACTCAGCACAGAAACTGAACAGATGGATTCAACTAATCTGCCTTGGATAAAAATGCAAAGCTCTTTGTCTGAAGAAAGTACAATTATTAATATTCATTTTCAGGACTGAATATGGCAACTGAGGTTTAAAGGGGAATTGAGGTAATGGTGACATTCTCAGCCTAGGCGCTGGTGCTGTGAAAATGTGCCACCTGTGATTTCAGCTCCATCTGTGACAATAACTCCTCTGATGTTTTTTAAGCAGGGAAATCAGAGGATTGCTCCTCTTCACATGGTATATACTGAATAAAATATGAAGGTCTCGAAAGACCAGCACCATCCAGTTGTATGAAGATTAAAATGTAAAAATATGATGGACTTCATCTTAGAGACCTATGAATTTAAAGGGGCCTTTATTCGCGTATTGGTTGTTCGTAATTATTTCTGACATGTAAATTGTAATTGGGGAGTGAAATGTGATAACTGGAACAATTGTCTGCAATACTGCTGAGTCACGGGGGCTCTGACTCAAGGCTTATACAGTAGGGCTGGTACTTTTCATATGCCTGATACAATATTTGTCATCGTAGAGCAATTATGTCAATCTTGTGTTACAGTCAATGTTTCAATCAAGTTAAAGTTTAATCGTTATTCTTGTAGGCTCGGGTTTGTTTTTATATTTTGTTTTTGATAAAGACGTTATGCTGTTAGAAAAGTTGCATGAAGAATAAAGTTTTGCCATGTACTTTTGTTCTAAACGTTAAGCAGGAAAATGATTAAAATAGCCGGGGTACACAACCCTTCTTGTTTCACCTGCATTTATTTATTTTCCTCCTGTTTTTCCTCATTTCTACACTACATTTTCACTGGAAATTCACAGAATATTTATGAATTGAGCCAAGTTCCAGCTCTTCGTTTCACGCCTGCTGTTTAAATGTCCCTTCATGCGATGAAAAACACGTGAGCTTAATACATCATGGCCCTGTGTGAGGTTGTGATTGGGGCACTTGAAATACAGTTTCGGTCTATAAACCCACCTGTGCCACGGGCAGAGAAAGAAAGCAGAGCGCCAGAGCACAACCAGATTAAAGGGGCATCGACCGCACGACTCAGGGGAGCTGCTGTGAGTACTGTACGTCTTCAGATTCACAGAGAAAAGGGAAATATTACCTCCCGCAGGAAACAAAGCGCCAAATGTCGTTCGAACAGTAACTGGCTTGCCCGGAATTGATTTTAGCAGGTTTTAGGCAAAAGTTTACATGATAAAGGTTGCAAGCAATAGTTATAAAGCATTTCTAGCTGTTAAACTATGGGAGGGCGCCGAGATAAGGGAAAGAAAAAACCTGTCATCTCAACTTGGGGAAAAAGTTGAATAAAGCTAATTAAACGAAAAGGAGAAAAGATTTGTTAAGAGTGTTCAGATATGAAACGGAGAGGAGGTGTGAGTCTGACTGGATTTCACCATTAACCCCATTTCTTCTAAAGTTTTATCAAAAAGAAAGACCGAAGGTAGCAATAGTGACTCTTTTTTTAGTTTTTGAGAAGCCAGAAAATTGTCAACATAGGTTAATTAGACGCAATATGACCACACTTAAAAAGGGTTTAAAACTTTAGGTGAAACCAGTCGCCTATTTGCAACGCGTAAAAAACAATTCACTAGTTGGTAAATCGATTCATACATTAGCATTGGGAATAATGCGTTTTATTACTAGTTGTTCATTGTGTATCAGAGTCATTCTAAAACGTCTTTACGAAAGGCAGGGTGTGAATGTTTTTTTTTTCCTGTTACCCCCCTTAATCTTTATTTTTACTTCGTGTTTAGAATGCGGTAAATTTTGTCACAAGAAAACCCCCCAGATGGCGCTATAGCCACACTGAGCGATTAAGTTCAGTTTATCTTGGAGAAAGTGCTTTTTGTTGGTGGAGAGCAAATGCTGGAATATTTTTCGGGTCGTTTTTTTTAAGTGGATAAGAATGTTATTAGGCAGCTGAAATATGCAAGTTAAATATCGATAAACTCAAGTCATATATAAATTAAACGCTTTGTAGTATTTCTGCGTGTGTTCGTAAGAACAGAAGGTTATAAACTAGTAGGTCATTCGACCTATCTAGCTCGTTGCTCATTAATGTGTGGTGAATTAATTTACTTTAGATTATGCATGGTATATTTTGATTAGGTAATTCTATTCCGTTTTATCTCTGTAATTTTGCTCTAAGGGGAGATATTTCTCTCTATGAAACCGGCAGTTTGTTTCAATGGATACAATCTTTTGAGCTGTTTACTGTGATAAACGCATAGTAGAAGAAACAAAATGTTTAAAGGGCATTTGAGATTAATATAGCAGAATTTTGATTAAGATGTAGAACCCCCCACACAGACAAACGGCAAAAAAAAATGATTTTTATTTTCACTTACAATCACTAATGCCTATCATTCATATGCGTTTTAATCCGTTAACTATCGAAAAAACACTCGTTCTAGATGAGGGTTGTGGTAATGTGAGATCTACACAGGAAGCACAGGGCTCAAAGCAAGGCTGCACCCTGAATGTGATGCTAATTTTGCACAACAAAATTTAGAGATGCCAATAAAACCAACCTGCTTGTCTTTGGGAGTTGAGAAGAATCTGCTTGGGCCGGAATCAAACCCGGGACTCAAGAGCTGTCAGGCTGCATCAGAAATCCCCAGCCCCACTGCAACATGTTAAGGTTCAGAAGCAAAATATTGTCTGTATCTTGGTTTATTGCCTACTGTCCAATGCGTCTTATTCAGACAATTAAAAAGACTGGAATTGTTCTATTTGTGGTAAAAAGTTATTTTGATAGCTGCTGCATCGAAATGAATTAAGTTAACCCAGGGGCACTCTGTGGATGGTAACCATACTGTATGTACTCCAGAGAGCACAAGGTTGGATAAACCTTGTATTTAAGGACTTTGTTTCTCCTTGAATGCCAGAGACGTATTTTATGATGTTGCAGCAGTGGTGAGTTTTTAAAGGGACAAAATCAGATAGGAGCTACTAATTCTCTTATAGATGCTTAACAGTTGTTTTTTTTTAAAAACAGTAAAAACGGTGGATAGATCATATATCTATCAAATAAAAAACACTGTATAAATTGAGCATTGGTTCAAAAAATGTTTTAAAAAAATCAAGTGCTTGTTACCAATTCAGAGATGTCAAATGGTTTGCTGCCTGGGTCATTTCAATCATGATAAAATTCCTTTTGTTTAGCTTAAAACAAAGAAAACGTAGTGCTAGTAAACTCTAATACCTGTCTTTTCCGTGGTTTGCTGAATGCCAAACATCTTTCAAATTAGTTTGCAATATACATTATACTACAAATAGAGTAGAATACAAATGTTTGGTAATTTGTTTTAAATACCTGGTTGCTCTACAAGATGACAAGTACAATGGGAATGAACAAACAACCAGTTTCAATTCACTGTTAAAAGGTCCTTTGATCTTGTAATTAAGCATAAACTCTTTGAGAAATTTGCATGTAAAAAGGAAATAAAAAATCCACCTCTAGCCTGTTTGTAAACAATAGGTATTGAATTTTTGGATTAAAGAAGGAAAATTCTATGTATATTGCTCCATGTCTCATTGCTTTGGATCATTTATTTGTATTAATTTGCAAAAAATAAATGTACAAAAACATAATACACCAAATACAAAATGCAACATTTTATCCGTACGACTTTTCATTAGAAGAAGTTCTGCATATGAATGAGACCAAATGCCATTTAGGGGTCTCGGTCTCCACACAACCTCCTAAGAGAAATGTTTTGTTAGCAGTTAGACCCACCTTTCTGAAAAGGAACAGGACATTTAGATTGTACTGTATGTTTAGAATCCTTCAGCTGGTGCATCAAACTACAGCTCAGTCAGGATTAGCCTGTCTAGCTGTCTAACCCCTATAGAGGTAACGGTGCGAGGGAAAAATAATTTAGAGGAAGACAAAAAGTCATACAGAGGGAAGGGATCCGGCTACTGCAGTAACTGTTGAGACAATTCGATTAATCATTGGGAGAGAAGATAAAGCAGTGGCCCAAGACAAAGGCCTGAGTTCAATCTCAAGGAAAACCCCTCGGCACAAGTAATTCTCTCGCTGATCGTAAAATGCGTACAGGCCTGGTTTCTTCCAAGACTGCATGAATATAGATGTTTCTGTTCTGTGACAGCAGTTCTAATGAAAGAACAAACAATGATGACAATGAATAATCTTGTCAAGTGCCTCTGCACACGTCCTGCTGGATTACTGTGTAGATACTATGGAACATATTGTTAGCTTAATATTTTTATCTATATTGCATATGGGTGGCATGGTACTCTAGCTCATTCTTGGCATTTATGCCTGGCAGTGCTGGGTTCCTGGGTTCAATTCCAGACCTGGGGTGCTGTCTGCGTTGACTTTGTATGTTCTCCATGTTTTTTGTGTGCTCTCGTTTCCTCCCACAGTCCAAACATGTACTGGTGAGTTAACTCACCTTGAGCCTGTTGCTTTCTGGAACAGGCTAAGCCTGAATTGAAAGAAGAACTGTTAGACAGTGGTGATGGATGGATTACATATTAAAGAAGGTCGATTTGGATTGAATATCTGTTATTCCCTGTTAGTATAGCATTAAAAGTGCTATGACAAAGCGTACTGCAGAGATCAGTATCTCAGATCGAACACAATAGTTTCCTTTTTTAAATAAGGAATAAAAATGAAAATAATTATCTGTATGAAGTATTTTTTTTATTTTAATTGGGAGCTTTAGAGAGGTAATATGCAATTTAACACTCCTAATCACCTGTAAAAGTATTTTGTCAGGTAACATAAGAGCATGCAGAGAAATTACTGAAATAATATACAGTATCTGTCACATGGATTTAATCAAAGCTTGAAAAACTTATTTTGATGTGTTTTTTTTATGGATTATGCAGTACTTCAGATGGGACTTGTCTACCTCTGAGTTATAGATGACAGAATAAAAACAGAGAACTGCTTACTAATTGTCTGCAGGAGTTGCTAAACCTTTAACATATTAACAGTAATGGTGGCACTCACCATCATGACATTATTCTTTTTCATTGGTCAGGTGCACCTTTCTATGGGGATAATTTTAACAAAGGCAGAGTGACAGTGTTGCATTCTTTATTTCTTATCAGGGAGAATGTGTTCCAAATCACTGAGGAAATCTGATCTGCCTGTGAATAAATTACAGTAATTTACTACAGCCATCTTCGCAATGGACTCGGCACAGAGCTCAGAGAATTTCCACATGTTGTCGGGGGGAAGTAATACAGCACTATCAAATATTTCACAGTAGCCCTTGTGTACAATAAGTGCATCAACAGAGGAGTCTTTAAAAAATTAAGCTTTTAATTATTTTTGAGTAGCAGATAAAAACCTGTTTGAATTTCTAAATTTGCATTTATCCAGTCTGCTTGTTACATCTGATCTTTTATTTCCTTGATTCAGTCTGCAGTGAGTTATATGTATACCTTATTTGAAAGGTAGGGCTATTGTTTCTACAAATCCTGCAATTTGAGAGCATTCAAAGTCCTCTACGGTGTTACAGTGCTTTGCAAAAGTATTCACCCCCCCTTATTTTTACATTTGACTAAATAAATAAAAAACAGAAAATAATTGAATGCATAAGTATTCACCCCCTTGCTTTGACACACCTAAATCACCTCTGAACTAACCAACAACTCTCTTCTCCAAGTCACATAATTACTTGACTGTAGTCCATCTGTATGCAGTTGAGGTGTTTCACGTGATTTCAGAATAAAT